TGGATCCTGCTGCGGATTCGGTGTCTCCCCCTCTCTCTGCCCCTCCCCCGCTCACGCTCTGTCCCTCTCTGTCTCTCGAAAATAAATAAAATGTTTAAAAAAAATTTTTTTTAAAGAGACTCTGACGGTAAGAACTATGTCCACCTCAAGGAGGTCAACCGTATGCACCAGGACCCTCATCCACTGGACAAGCGGGCTGGGCCCTGAGGAGGCCGCGATTAGCACAACTCGGTCTGGTGGGGATGGCAGCGAGGAAGGGGGTGCCAGCTTGCTCCCAGGGTCACGAGCTGTGGTGATGTGCGGCAAGCCCCCTCACCTGCTGGAAGTGACCTCTGAACAGCTCTGGGGGTGACCCGTGATGGGCCCGGGGCACCGCAAGCGGCTGGGGGAGCATTTCAGTCCCTGGGAAAGAAACCAGGGGATGCTCCAGCAGGACGCAACTCAGAAGAGCAGAGCCAGGAGAGCCCGCTGATGGTTACTTTTGCCCCGAAGGGAAGAGCCTTGACGGCCGGATCTCTGGGGACCTTCTCCCCATTCCCGCAGAACATTCACCGGGGTTGGAGCCAGGCCTTCAGGATGGCCACACAACTCAGACCGGTCGTCCGGGACCGCGTGCACGTCTGTGTGCGGAGAGACCTTGGGATGGGTTCATTCACGCGTCCGGTGGGACTTCGAACTTTGAACTTATAGAAATAAAATTGCCTTTTGATTCTGCCGTGTGGATTCCCCCCAACATTCATGGCGGACGGGTGCTGTGGTCCCCCTCGGTGCCCGGGGGGCCGCCCCTGGCCCGCCTGGCCTGCCTGGCAGTTTCCAGGGAGGTTGTGGGGAAGCTGGCAGGGGCCGAGCCGGGCCGGGTGCGTGTCTGCCTCAGCCTTCCCCGCTAAGCCCGCCTGGCCCGCCCTCACTCTCCTCTCCCTGTTTGTTTCCGTTGCTGGGAGAGGGGAAGGCGGTGCCCGAGGGGTGGGGTTCAGGGGCAGCCGGGCCAGGGCTGGCTGGGACCATGGAAGTATTAACCATCAGGAGAGCTAACTGCCCAGCCCAAGGGATAAAGGTTCCCTGCTCTCCCCCGCCCTCTCCTTCCAACAGCCCACCCCACCCCAGAAAATGCTCCGAAGAGTCCTGTGTTTCTAGAATTTCGAATGCTTGCCTGCCCACATGGCTGCATGAGGTACCTGAAGGGGTGTGGTAAAAAAAGAGCCCGGACTTGTTTCGTGTGGTCCCGGCAGCCAGGCGGATGCAGAAGGTGACACTCGGACCATCGGGGCTGATCTGAGACCGTTTGGGTTGCCTTTTGAGGTAATGAGCATCCTGTCTCTCAAGGTGTGCAAGCCCGAACTGTCCAATCGTTTGGTTAGAGGTTGCAAAAGGGATTCAAGCGCGAGAGGGTCTCTGCGGCCCCTTCCAGATTTGAGACTCTGATTTGGTGCTCACCCCACTAGCCCCAGGACAGTCTCTCCCCAGGGGCCATGCAGAAAAGCTCCTTAGCTCTGGGCACTTTCTCACGCTCTCCACTCCCACCCGGTGCCTTGACTCCTCTTTCCAGGAGTCTCCTGAGAAAGCCACCCAAAATCTCAACCCTATTCCTGTCCCAGCCTCAAAGTCATCAAAAGGGCATTGGGGTGATGGGCACGCCTTGCCGAGAGTGCATGCAGAGCACAAGGAAAATGCAGAAGCGGCACCGGGACCGAGAGTGTCCCAGCAGGGAGGAAGCTTAGAGGGAACGTCTGGCTGTGTAAAGCCAGGCAGATCAAGAACGACCCAGCCTCTCCTGGGACTCGAGATTTCTGTGATGTTGGAAATGGGCTTCTTCCGCGTAACCTTGGGTGATTTGCTGGGATACGTCCCAGAGTATGGGAGGGGGAGGAGAGGGGGAGAGGTCGCCCTCTGGTCTGGAGTGTTACCTGCCAGGCTCCCCCTCTGCAGGGGGAGCGGCCAGGATGGGCAAGAGGGGGAAACAGTGAGGGACTTTGTGGCCTCCGCACCTCGACTCCTTGTCTGAGACTCCAGCGTCTCCCCTCCACTGTCACCCAGGCAGCTGTCACCCTTTCTCACCCCAAAAGCCCTGTCTGGCTTTGAACTCTCTGAGCCCCTTTCATCCGAGCCGAATCAAAGTGCTTTTACTGAGACCAATTAATGTCCGGCAGTGACCCGAGTCACAGACAGGAATGCTGAGGCTTTGGGGGTGCCGAGGACATCCCAGCACCCCGCTGAGTCAGGGACAGCCGGGCTTGGCCACCAGGGAAGGCTGCTGAGTCATGCAGCCACTTCTCCGGCAGGTGCGGGGGGCTTGAGCCCGCCTCCCAGCCCCAGCAGAGGGTGACGCAGGGGGCAGGTAGGGGCACGGGGCCAGCCCAGAGCCGGGGGACATGTGCCCGCGCGGCGGCCGCCTGCAGAGCTGATCTAGGGCTCTGAGGTGGAGCCCCACCCCTGGATTTGGCCAGACTACACCCGCCCGGCCTGACCCTGCGAGGACCCGAAGACCCAAGGGGCAGAGAACAGGCAGTGGGAAGATGCTCGGGAACCCAGACGACAGAGTCAGGAGCTGGAGCTTTGCTTTTCTCTTCTTTCTTTTTTGTTTTTTTTGCATTTACGTCAACAAAGAAGCACCAAACAGCACTTCCTGGTCCCCCAGCCCTGCTTCCACACACGCTTCTGCCTCAGAGCAGAGGGGGGAATGCTAGAGCCTTCCCTGGGAGAAAGCATGCCCCCCTCCCAAAGGCCCGATGTCTAGCTGGTTGTTCCTGAGCTGTGGGCCCCCCGTCCCCAAGTCCTCAGGAATTCCAGTTTTCTCTCTTCCTTGTCCCCCCGCCCCCCGCTCTGCAGAGCTGGGCTCACACGGTCCCCCCCTTGGCTCTGCCCCCATCCTCATGCGGCCTGATCCCACCAGCCCCCACTAACGCCAGGGACCTCTTCCCTGCCATCATCCCCCCTGCCCTTCGCAGTGAGAGGGGCGGAGGGTATAAAAGACGTAGCCCACATGCAGCTGGCATCTGAGGCAAGCCGTCAGGAATGCCCCACTTCTAGGAGCCGACTCGGGCCGGCCCTGAAGCCTGCGGGAGCCTGTGCAGGGTGTGGAGGAATCCCAAGAGCAGCAACCAAGCCCGTCTCCCACATCACGGGCCGATTCCTGGATTCCTGGAGGGGAACGACTCCCAGACCGTCTGCACCTGCCCAGAGGTGGCCGTGTTCCCCCGTCCCCGAAGCCAGGCCTTCATTCAGACCTGCCACCACCCCCCCTCCCCCCCGCCGCGGGTCTAGGCCACGGCAAGATGGTCTCGTTCTTAGGCCGCGGGAGCTGCCAGGCCCCGCACACCCGCGGTTTCACGAGCAGCAGTTGTGGTGAAACGCAGACCATGCTTTAAGCCTGTGAACTCTGCCCGCTTCTCCGCACGGGGCCTCACAAGTCAGCAACGGGCCTGGAACACCCTTTCTTCCCGATCCGCACTCCGACAGGGCCCTTGCCTCCTTGGCCCTCAGATGGGTGACTCAGGAAGGGATCTGGGCAAACTCCAGGCACCCGAGGCCCTTTCTGGCTTTCCTGGCAAGAGGTTGCCCCGGCACGGGTAAGGGCTCACACTGCCTGGTCCCCGCAGGTAGTAACCGCAGTTGAGGAGCCTGAGGAGCTAAACCACCACAGAAGGCGCCGGAATCCTCAGCGGCGTGCCCGTGAGGTCAGGGGGTGTCTCCCGTCCTGGGAGAGTACCACATCTTTCCAAGACGGGGGAGGGGGCGCACTCAGGGCCACTGAGCAGGAAGGAGGGAGCCCCCCGCCCCAGCAGCTAGCCTGGGCAGGGTGGGGCAGGCGGACGACAAGGTGCCTGGGGAGGCTTCCCTGACGAAGACGAGGCACAGGGAGAAGCTTGCCTGCCCACTCTCCCTGGGCCCTATGAAAAGAGCACTCTTGCCCGAGGCCCTTATAACCTGGCGTTGCAAACAGCCAGGACGCGCCCGGCACTGCCCTCTGCCTCCTCTAGTGCAGGGCCCATGGAGGGAAGCAAGGCTGGGCTGCGGATTCGAGGCCTAGAGCACCGAGGGGGCGGGCTGGAGCCTTCCCCACCCCCCTGGCATACAGAACGGGGAAACGGCTCCACCCCTGGGCCACAGCTCTGCAGCCCACAAGGAGCCTGGTGAGCGGGGTCCTTCCAGAAAAGGCTGAGACTATTCTAGAGGCACAAGACATTTGGCGTGGGCAGCCGAGGGAGGAGCAGGAGCAGACCGGCCAAGCGAGAAGCTTCCGGGAGGGTGGACCCAGGTCCGCTGCACCGGGTGCCTGGGGGGCACCCAGCCGAGGCAGGCGCTCAAGAAGCCTTTGAATGCGTGAATGAATCAGAGTGTTTGGGGGAAACCGGAGGCAAGCTGACTAACAGAGGCGACAGTGGCCTTGGGGAGCCCCAGCTGCCAGAGTTAGGAGAGAGCAGGTGACGGGGCAGCCGGGTCTGGGCGAGGAGCAGGGCCCTGGGTGGGCCTGGGGGTGGACAGGTGTCCGTGTTGAGGCACTGCCTGGAGTGGAGAGGGCAGAGCAGGAGGGTGCAAACACCACCCCCACCCCCCACCCCCGCCACAGGAGGTGGGGTCTGAGCCACAGGTGGGGGCCCAGCCCGGGTCCCTCCTGCCCCAGCCCCTCCCTGAGAGACAGCTCCAACCGCTGGCTCTGAAGTACCTCTAAACCAGGCGTGGGACAGGGGCAGAGCAAGGCCGTGCTGAAGGAGGACACGAAGGCCACATGCCGGGGCCCCAAGAAGCCCAGAGGACCCAGGGCCAAGGGCCGAGAGGCTGGGATGGACCACCTGCAGAGGGCACCTTTCGGTCCCCTGCCCCAGGCCATCGCGCCACCCTCGGCCCTGGCTCCGTTCAGTACCCTGCAGCAGACACAGCCCCCCCCCCCGCCCCCAAGAAAGCTGAGCCGTTCCTTAAAGAAGTGGGATAAATTTAATCTGTACCTCTAAAATGTCTAGGCTAGCGGCAGTCATGGACGCCCAGAGACTGGGCAGAGCCTGTCCCATTGCAGGCGTCCCCGGGGACACGGAGGCCCCCCTCAATTCACAGAGGCGGCTGGCAGGATGTTGGCTTTGCGCTCGGCTTCCACACAGTACTTCTCAGGGAGGCCCGTGGCTCTGCAGGGGGCAGGGGGCGGGACAGGCGTGCGTGGGCCGTGGGACCAGACAGGAGCAGCAGGAAGCAGGCCCCGGTGGGGGTTCCGGGACCTGGGGGCCCGCGCCCCCCATCCCGGCTCCTACAATCCGTCCCCCAGACACGTTCCCGTCAGGGCTCCGGCCCCTGCCACGGATCCAGGAGGCCCCGGGGCCCGGAACCTTCTGCGGCAGCCCCCCCCCCCACTCCGGAGCCGGGAGTCGCCCCCACTCCCGCACACCCCGTCCTTGGGAGAGGGGGGCACGGGGCGGGGCGCAGGGATCCGGGCGCACCTCAGCTCCTGAATCTTCTTCTTCTTGAGGTCATCGATGCGCTCGCGCCGCTTCTGGGCCTCCTCCTGGAGACGCCGGCCCTCCTCAAAGGTGGCGATGCGGTCCTGCACCTGCTTCTGCTGGTTCTCGCGCACTTGGCGCCGGAGCTCGTCCGCGTGCCGCTGGCGCCCCGCCGCCTTTTTCTCCGCCTCCAGCCGCTCCTTCTCGATCTGCTCTCTCTGAGCCCTGGAGGAGGGACACCGGCTGCCGAACGGCCCGTCTGGGCCGGCCCAGCGAGGAGAGGCACCCCAGGAGCCTTCCGGAAGGGCTCCTCCGGTGGACATGCTTCAGAGACCGCAGCCCCGCACACTGCGGCCCTTTTCCGGGGCTCAGAGACCAGAGCTGCCCCCAGGCATGCCGCCCCCTCCTCAGCCAGGCCCGGCACCGCGGGCGGGCTCCGAAGGGCCCCGTGTGCGCTCTGGTTCTCCTCCATCACTGTTCCGAAATTTTTATTTTTTATTTTTTTAATGTGTATTTATTTTCGAGAGAGAGGGAGACAGACAAAGTGTGAGCAGGGGAGAAGCAGAGAGAGGGAGACACAGAATCCGAAGCAGACTCCGGGCTCTGAGCTGTCGGCACAGAGCCCGACGCGGGGCCTGAACCCACAAACCATGAGACCTGAGCCGAAATCGGACGCTTAGCCGACTGAGCCACCCAGGCGCCCACTGTTTTGAAATTCTTAATACTTTTTGAACGAGAGATCCCGCATTCTTATATTTCACCAGGAGCTGGCCCGTGCTCAGGGTTTCGCCCACTGGAAGCTACTGTTCCAGCTCTTTCTGTCGTACAATGCAGAACTCGTCTCTGGCTTGTTCTAAGATAGTCTCTCTCCCTCTCCCTCCCTTCCTCCCTCCCTTCCTTCCCACAAACAATAACAATGACATTAACAAAACTGCAACGGGGATGCTTAGAAGTGACAAGGACTGACACTTGCCGTGCAGGCTCTTGTGTTTGCGGGAAGAAGGCGGGAGCTCGCCAAATTCCCCACAGGGGCCTCCTCACGAGGGGACTTTTACGGGCCCTGATTTCCCTGGCCAAGCAGCCAAGCAGCCCGTGTGGGCCAGACAGGCTCCGGAAAACTCAAAGGTACTGTGTTCACATCCCAGGGGGAGCGCGGTGCTAGGCCACCCTGGGCTATCATCTTAGTTCTTTTTTATTTTTATTAAATTGTTTTTTTCATGTTTATTTTTTGAGAGAGAGACAGACAGACAGAGCATGAGCAGGGGAAGGGCAGAGAGAGAGAGAGAGAGGGAGACACAGAATCCAAAGCAGACTCCAGGCTCTGAGCCGTCAGCACAGAGCCCGACGTGGGACTCGAACCCACGAACCTCGAGATCATGACCTGAGCCGAAGTCAGACACTTAACCAACGGAGCCACCCAGATGCCTCTTGACAGAATCAAAAACCAAAACAACATGTAAAATCATCTCAGGCAGGGATTCCTTACCTGCCCCCCTGCCCTGAGGGTACTCGTGTCCCCGACAAAGCTTCCAAAAGCACAAGTCACTTACTCATCTCCCCAGACCCACAACACGCAGCATCGTCTCAACTCTGGGCACGTCCCTTACACCGGCGGGCACCTCCCAAACCCTGCACCTGCCACGGAGCCTCCCAGGCTGTCAGGAGACACGCACTGGCTTCCTCACCCCTCTGTGTTTAGACTCCAAACCTCCACTGCTCAGACACATCTGTGACAGCAGGAAGCCTTGCCTCTTTGCCTCGCCCTTATTTTCCTAGATGGATAAGGGTTTTCTGTTGTTTTACATCCTGCGAGACAGGGTGGAAATGGGAAGCTGCTTGTGTCACTGGAGATCCCCTGGGCTGGCAGGCAGTGAGAAATCTGAGTGGGGAAGAGCCTGGTCACTTCACGGGGTTAGGGCAGTGACCTTGGAGCCTGGGCCTCACCCCCGACCAGTTACATCAGAATCTGTGGAGGTGGAGCCCGGGACACAGTACTTGGTGAAAGCTCCAAGGCAATTCTCAGCACCACGGGGGAGGGGAGGTCAGCTCTCCCTGCCTAGTCGGTGAGCTGAGAGTCAAAGGCATCCCTCTGTCCGGAAGCAGGAAGCCCACGTAGAGGCCATCCACAAGGTCATGCTTTGAAGTAGGAAAAGTTGCATTGCTGGCTACGGGCAGGGACATTCCTAGCACTTGAAGACACCTGGCCTGGTGGTCACGTGGCCCTGGAGACACCAGGTCTAGATGCTAACCCAGAACAGCAGGTGAGACCGAACATCTCCGAGGGGCTGGTCTCGCTTTAATAACTGGCTGGTGCATATGCTTCAGGCAAACAAAGCAAAGAAGGGACAAATGGGTCAGGGGCAGAAGGAGGACCTTAATTTCTTTCCATTAATATTTATTAGTGCCTGCTAAAGGCATGTGGCAGTGAGGGCGGGCATCTGAAAGGTAGTTTGGAGCCCAGGGGCAGAATCTTCGGGGCCATTAAGGAAGCTGCCTTCCTCGGCAGGCTTCCAGAGACCGCGGCATGACCCTTGAGGGCAGGCAAAGGCCACCGCGGCTGGGGGAGCAGGCGCGGGGGGCCCAGGGTCCAATAAAAGACCAGGACCCTGGCCCTGGCAAGGACGGAGATTCCTACAGATCTGCTCTGCCTCTGGCGGGGGGCCCTGGGGTCCGGCATGCAACTAATGGGGTCAATACCAAGGAGGACCTCTGGCACATAGACCAGGTAGACGAGAAGGCCGGGCCGCACCTCTCAGTCTCTACTCACCGGAGCACGATTTCTGTAATCTCGTATCCACACCCCCATCGCAATTCGGTTTGTTTCTTTGAAAGCTGCTGCTATCACAGAGTCCGAACCAGAGCAAGAAAGGAGTCACTCCTGGTGAGCCCAGAACACTTAGCCCAGGGGGTGGGGTCTGGTGGCGGCAGGTGACCCCGACTGACGCCAGAGCAGCCGTGACGGCTGGTGGCTCTGGGGGTGAACGACGGGCAGGGAGAGCGACAGTTGTGAACACCTCACTTCCACTTACAGGTGGGAATTATCGCGGAGACAAAAGACAACGAAAATAAAAGGATGACGAGCTGGCAGGAAAGACAGATGGATCCAGGGGAGGTCAATCCAAGTAGGAGTTGCTCACATCCTTCCCACAGCGATGGCCAACGACAGTGTTTTGTTCACCTCCAATATGTCCCACGGCGGAGCCTTGAGTTTACGTGTTGGATACTGTTTATCAAATGAATGGCAAAGACACCCCCCGCCCCCCGGAGCTCTTCTCCAGTGACTCACAAGCTTGGTGTCCGAAGCTCTCTCTGTTCCTCGTATTCTCCCCCACTGCCTGCTTTATCCTCACCCCTAACCAGCGGGGGTACGTCGAGGCAGGGGAGGGCAGAGGGACCAGATGTAACTTTTACTTACGCCTTTAATCCTCCGGGACAAACAATCCAAATAATACCCAGTTCTTTAGACTCCTCCGGGTGCTGGTTTCCAAATCCCTAATCGGAAAATTCTTGGCTCCTGGGGCTCCTGGGTGGCTCAGTCGGTGGAGTGTCCAACTTTGGCTCAGGTCATGATCTCACGGCTCGTGAGTTCGAGCCCCGCGTCGGGCTCTATGCTGACAGCTCGGAGCCTGCTTCGGATTCTGGGTCTCCCTCTCTCTCTGCCCCTCCCCCTCTCAAGCTCTGTCTCTCTCTCTCAAAAATAAATAAACAT